GTTTAACTGAAAAACAAAACAACCTCCCCCCCATGAAATTTCCTATTCCATGGAGAAGATGGGAAAATATACTAAATCCTATCCTGTAGGAGACCGGTAGGAACTAATGTAATTGGGGCAGATTTTGAAACTCTGAGTAGAATGGATCTTTGCTGGTAAGTATAATTTTGTTCGGGTTTTTTTTAAGTGATGTCTACGATTTCATCCAAATTAGCAGACCACCCTGCAGGAGGACTTTAGAGTGTTGCTGACAGCCACTTGCCATGTGTTTAGAAAGTTTGCATATGTCCTTAGCTTTTCTTTTTCATTTAAAAATTTTAGAAGGTTGTGGAAGGTTTTTTAGAACAGGAGAGGAGTGGGAGGAATGTTAGTTTAAAAAGGAAAAAATAGCATGAAACTGATCCTGCACACTCTTACTTACATAAGTAGCAATCTGCAGAACGGGGCACTTAATTTATGCCCCTTGATAAAAGTTTTTAACAACTAATTTTTGTATAAATTAAACCTAACAAATGATAAAAACTGAAATTGCGAAGATCTCAAAAAGTTAAATTAAATAAATAAAGCCAAGAACAGTTAAATCAAAAAGAGATTGAATTCCAAACCTATGTCTCAGAACTTTCAGAATTCTAACTGCCTGATCCTGTGCCAAGTTAAATCACTGGCAAAACTTCCATTTACTTCAAGAGTGCAGGGTGAAGCCCTTAATACCTGGCCCCACAAATCTGTCTAACTTGTACATCCCATGGAGCTGGTACCAACACATAGCCATGAAGTAACATGGTGAAAATAAGGTACGTATGAAGAGGCAGGTTGTTCATTCTACTTAATGTGAATGGAGGGTCCCTGAACTGGTATGGGGGGCGGAGGGGAAGGATTGCAGAAGAATGGTGGAAAAGTGTCAGCTCCACAACTCTACCCCTTCCCTAACCAAACAGAAGCCCCTCTCACTGCATGCTACCTAGAACTGGGCTCCATGAATAAGTAGGTACCAAATGAAGAGGAACAGTAGATAAGCTAAAAAATAATTATGAGAGATACAAGTAAGAGGGCTTGTGTGCCTTATAATTATTTTTGCCTTACCTAATGTAACTGTGGATATACTCATCCGTAAAAATGTACACTCCTGGTGTGAATTCTGCTAACTCTTTGACCCACTGATATTGTGTGGCAACAAGTTCCAAAGGCTGTGTTATGTTTTTAAAAAAAATCCTTCTAGCAGTTTTAAATGTATTGCCTTTTAATTTCATTAAATGTCCTTTTTTTTACTTGTTTTGAGAGTAAATAGGAGCATCTAACTGAACTTGATACTATTTACTATTTTATATACCCCTCACATGTCCCTTCTTCATCTTTTCTCTAAACTAAACAGTTCCTACTATTTTCTCCTCATATGGAAATATTGTCATATCTGAAATTATTTTAAGCAGCTTTCTTTGCACCCTCTCTAATTCTGCTATATAGCTTTGAAGTGGGGTGATCAGATTGGAGCACAAATTATTTATACAGAATCATAGGTATAAAACTACAAAGTAAATAAAGTTTTGAGTCTTGTCCAGAAGAATGCCAGAGTATACTTAAGCAAACAGAGAGAAGAGTATACCCCGGACCCTAGACAGAGAAAGTGCCTTCCATCATTCCTATATCTTATATAGAGATGAACAGCAGTTCCAACCACATTGCGTCTGATGTAGCAGGATGTAGAGCAGAAAACAGTTCCTAAAGTAAACCATAGTTAGCATTTCAAGCCATGAAAAGACCTAGAATTGCATTCACTCAATAGGCAGTGAACACAGATTGCCAAACTCCTCAGATATTAGTGAAGCCTATTGGCAAAGGTCATGGAGCAATTCTACAGCTTATTTATACAATAACCAGTCGTGTAGCCTCAAATAAAAAGCATTATTGCAATCCATCCTACAGGTTGCAAGACACGGATTTCAGTGATGTGGTTCTGTGCCATAAAAGAAAAGTCACAACTTCTAAATGTTTCAGAGGTGAACAAAATCCTCTTGAAACTGCTCAAAATTGGATTTCCATATTTCAGTATGTGGTCAAAAAACCTCCACATTTTGTATCTTTAGTCACTGACTTGGGGGCAAACCCTGTTAGTAGATAGATTTGCCATCACACACAATTCCCCATCCCACCACCCATACTTTTCCTATAGAGTGGTTTAGTTTCAATTAACTGTTTTATGTCACTCTTCAATCTTGATGAAGCAATGCCAAGATGGAGTGGCCATGATTGGCTGAGACAGAACTACATATCTGGGTACCATCAGTGTATTTGTACCTAACATCATGCTGGCTTATCAGTTATCATATACATACTGTCAATAAAACAACCCGCAGTAGTCCTTATTTTTGCAGCCATTTCTGCAATGATAAATGACCAACCCATCAGAAATTAATTCTGAAGCTAATCTGAGGATGTATAACAGAAATCAAGGTAAATTTTCTTGAATTTGCAGTTTCACAATTACTGCAATTATAACAGCTTGGCAATTTTACTGTGTGGTTATTCTAAAAAAAAAAAGATAAAAGTTATACATTACTATTTTCCCATTTTGTTTGTGTTGGTTTTCCCTTGCCTACACCTCCAGACTGTGTAATTAACTATGAATCATTTGTTGAGATGCATCAATTTGCAGTGGACTTCTTAAAGAAATTATAAAATGGATACCATAAATTCAGTGGCCTGACTGCTCGAATACTGAGAGACAATGTGGATGAGGTAATACCTTTTATTGGATCAACTTCTGTTGATGAAAGAGACAAGCTTTCGAGCTTCATAAAGCTCTTCTTTATGTTTGTGTAGCTCAAAAGCTTGTCTCTTTCATCAACAGAAGTTGGTCCAATAAAAGATATTACCTCACCCACCTTGTCTCTCTAATATCCTGGGACCAAAAGGGCTACAACAACACTGCAAACAGTATACTCATCATCTAGAAATGCCCAGAACATATATAAAGTGAGTGCTCCTGCTGTCAGTGATGTCATACAACACACAGGCTGGAAAAAACCCAAACAAAACATACTTTTAAAACTGTTTAATCAAATGTTCATCTCATAATAATAATAACACAGATGTCAGCACAAAGTATTTTCCAGGAATTGAAGACCAAGTATGTTACTAACCTATAGCTGAGCCTTGGATCAGCAATTCCTCCTAGCCAGTCTTTAATTCCCAGGAAATGCTGTAGTACACAGAGAGCTGACTGGTTAGCTATTCAGGCTTTTACAAAAATGCTTTTGTAGTTATCTTTAAGGGCCAGTTGTTTGTTGGCTGTTATTTCACTCATGTATCACTAGACCTTTACTCTGGTCCAAGACTTCACAACTTTTTTTTTCTGCCTGTTCCCATTTCATGGCAAAACTAATAATGAAACCTCCCTACTCATTTGGTTTTGGGAGGGAAGGAGAGAAAGAAGACCTTGTTTTGTATACATCCACGACTGATTTACAGAGAGATGAAATCTCATCATTGCAAAGCAAAGCTACCCAAATCTACAACTTTTGTTGTGTGTTAATAATTTACCAGAAAATCTCTTTTATTTGACATCTGATTTAAAGACTATTTTCCCCACAACCAATAATTTATTTTTCTCCTCTTTTACAGAGTGATCCTCTCTAGTGTAGAAGAGGTCATTAAGGGAGATTTCCATCCTAATCTTAGAGAATTAGGGCAGATACGGCATCCAGACATTTGGGTTAAAAAACACAATCTGTTTCCCTATTTGGAAGTTCTTCAAACATTTAATTTCAACCATATTAGGGAATTGATTTTTTTAAATGAAAGTGTACACACGCACCCACCCACCCACCCCCCTGGAAAAACAAGATAAAGTTCTCTAGAAAATATGCAGCTAAAATTTCTCTCCTGGCAGGAGAGCGGTTGGATTTAAAGTCTGAGATTTTGCATACTGCTCTGTCAATACAATACAGTCTGAGTATATTAAGTACATAAAATCCCCTATATTAATGTTTGAGGTGGGAATTGAATGTGCAAGAGTGAGGAGACAGCACAAGGAAAATAGCGTGGGTGAACAAATTGCTTGTCATCATTAACAAGATCGTCCTCCTTCCCCTCTTTGTCGCAAGTTCAAGCAGACTGGTTTCATCTATGTCTCAATTTCACCTTAAAAAAAGAAAAGAGGACCCCCTCCCTCAAAAAAACCCCTATGAGCCACGGTTATGAGTGTGGCTCATAACCTCATCTGCCAGGGGTAGAAATGGGAGAATTCAGCGCCTCTCTTTCGCCTCAAGGGGAGTTGGAGAAAACTGACCCCTTCTTTCCCCCACACCAGAGGGGTTTCACCCCACTCTTCCCTCGCACACCTTTTCCCCACAGAGAGTCAAACTGAATCAATCTCCTTCTGCCGGTGGATAGGCGGAGGCTGCAGAGCAGTCCACCCCCTGAGGAGTCAGAGGGCAGAGGCACCGTCTGCTCACCCTCGGTCTTGAAGCTTCTCCGCGCTCAAGAGTCCCGCCCCTCCGTGGACGCGCGTCTTCGCTGCCGCAGCTGCAGTGCGCGAGCTGAAGGCGTGTGCGCGGGCGCGAGCCATGCAGCGGTTTCCCCCATCCCCCTCCTCAATTCCACCACCATCCAGAGGCTGAGGCGGAGGAAGAACAGGCTGGCGGAGGGTTACTCTTCGCTTTGGCAGAGACGAGTTAGCGATCCATGCGCTCTTGCTTTCCTTGGAGCAGTGTGTATAGAGAGTGTGATGCGGCTGTGCTGGGGCTGATTGGGGCTTGGTGGCCGTTACTTGGAGAAGGGACGAGTGGCGGTTCCTGCAAAGGAAATTAGTTCTCAGGGACAGCGGGAGGTTGAGGAGCCAAGGAAGCAGGGGGGATTGAGGAGTCTGTTGGGAGGTAGGGGGGCTCAGGAGCAGCGAGGCACCAAGGAGCAAGGAGGGGTGTGGGGTGCTGAGGAGCCACGGGAAGGAGGGAGGCTGCGAGAGCAACGGGCGTGGGGGAGGGCGAGATCACAGGGCGAGGCAGGGTGCGGGTGGGGAGGGGTCTCGTCCCTTCTCTGTCTCAGTTCAGTTGATGGCAGCGGAGGCTAAAAAGGGGAACTGATTAGCAATAGCTTCCCTTCGCTGCTGAGGCGGCTGGTTCCCTATCCCTGGGCTGCCTGTGACACTAGTGGGGGCGGGAGCGCGGTCAGAGGCTGTGCCTCTCGTCGGCACAACCTTTAATCTGAGGTGGGGGCTGCTGAGTAGTATTTGCCCCTCTCTTCCTCCTGTCCTTGCTCTGGGGGCCGATTAGTCTGGAGAGTTTAACTGGGGTTTCCCCTCCTCGCTGAATGAGGAGTTGCTGTGGTAGCCTTGAGGGTTTTTTTTGTCTGATGTAGACTCCAGCAGCCTTCCTCCTTTCTTTCCTTCCATCCTTCCTTCTTCCCCTTCGCTATGTAGAGCGGGAGAGACCCGTCAATTGGAAGACTGAAATGAATTTAGATGGACTTTCAATTGCTTTTTTTTAAAAAAGAAGAGGATACATCCCAGTTGCCAATGCACTGTTTTTTATATTGCTTTGGAGAAATGGGGGTCATTTGCTGCTGCTAAATCCTTGGGGCATTTTAGAGAGTTCCTACAAAGAAGGCAAATCTGTATTTTTTTTGAAGCGAAGGAGCCACATTGATTTTAGCCTTTTTTATAAAATGGAGAATGAGATATTCACACCCCTGTTGGAACAGTTTATGTCTAGCCCTCTTGTCACCTGGGTAAGAATTAATTTTCACAAATGGCATTTTTAAGGGTAAATATCTAGTTGCAGAGATTGAGGTGGAGTTAGTGTCATGGTGATGATTATATTTTAGGTTAAGACATTTGGACCCTTAGCTGGAGGAAATGGGAGCAACCTGGAGGAATATGTGGCTCTAGTGGATGGCATATTCTTGAACGAAGTCATGCTCCAAATGTAAGTGCTCATGTATGTGTTTTTTCTTGTCATTGTATATTTTATTTTTTGTCAAGTCTTTTGTTTCTTCAACATGTCATTTGACTTCCAGGCATCACTTTGTAAATATGTCTGATCATAAAATTGTGTTTTGGCTAATAGTATTCATGTGGTTAGCTATGAGGAGAATCTAACTTATACTATATTTAGTCTAATTTGTTTCCACTGGAATTTTTTTTCAAACACAGAAAACATATTTTTAAAATTTACTATTCAAAATCTGGAACTGTATTGTTAATTATATGATACTGCCACTATAATTTGCAAGTCTGAGACAGTATGACAAAAATGACATAATTGCAAAGTATGTGGTGCAATACCCACAGGATTATGAAATGTAAGATTTAATAGAAATTGTATTTTTTTTAAACATCTGTAAATACAGTTTCATTTTGACATAAATGGTTTAAAATAAGATATACATTAAATTAAAATTAAATTAAATTAAAAGACCAGAATGACTAATAATTTGCCTGTTAATAAGGTTCTAATGTTTGTTTTAGTTCATGTGGCATAGGATTTTTTTGAAATTGTGTGATACACTGTTATATATTGCATGCATGCTAATAGGGACAGACTTGTTTTTGACTTTGTTTCTACAGGATCAGAAACTTTAGTAAGTACTGGTTGTGAATTGTAGTATGGCTACATTTTTATTCATGCTATAGAAGCTAAAATGATCAGTGAAGTGTTTTGTTTATTGCCACAAACCATACACAACACAGTTTTTTCTGTTTGGTATCAGAAACTAATTATTGAAAATTTTGATTGTTTGAAAGGCATGTATAATTATATAAGAGCTACATAAAGTGATATACATGAACGAATTAGATTAATATATTAGTCACAATTTAGAAAATATGTATGTTGGAGAAAATAAGTGCTCCACTTATTGAAGTTTCAATAAAAACAGAACTGCAATATACAGCAATTTATTAAGAAGTATTGTGATTTCTACCACAATTGTGACTATGGAACATTGCTTACTAGTATATTGCCCAGATAGTGACAGCTTTCTGTTAGTCTTTAAGGTGCCACCGGACTCCCTGTTATCTTTCAAATGTACATTTCTGTAGTACTGTACTTCACTAATAAGAAGCAAGATGGTACTGGCGGAAAAAACTTCTCATTTAAAGCAGCCCCTTGCTTTTTTCTCCTCACAATATTTTAAACTCTTCCTATATAAATTTAACCTATCCTTGGATATCTAGATAGGAATAACTGTACACATAAGTACAGATATACCAGTGTGTAAGCAGCTTGCAATGACAGCTGTTCACCAAGAATACTGTCCAGTGATGGCCAGGCACATTCTTGTACTCTGTTTATACTATTTTCACTCATGGTAAAAATATTGTAAAATTACAAATTTTATGTACAGTATTGTAAATATGTATACTGGATGTACTGAGCAACTTTAAAGCCAAGTTTTGGGCCTACTGAAGTCAAGCATCACTTTTGCCATTAACTTCAGTAGAAGCAAAAATTAAAATTTATTTTTGTAATATAGATCCTGCAGAGAAATGTGCAAAGTATGGTGAAGTCTTTTTAAAAATGTGTATCTTCTTCTAGAAAGCTTTTATTGTTGCATAAATTTGTAAGTGATTGAAAAGTGCAGTGTCTTCTACCGATGAATTTATTGAAACACTGTTTTTACTGCGTAATTGAATTTGAAATAATCCAAATCAGAAAAGTTAAAGTAATTTGGCAACTACGTGACTGTATATGTTGGCAACAGAACTTTTATTCATTATAAAAATGTTTAATTTTAAATTGGAGGCTGATCACTAACTTTGGTCAAAATTTAATAGTTTAATCTTGAAAATATCAGGAATGAAATTCTGAGAACTTTCTCAAGTCTTTGGAATTTTATCTGAGAAAATATCCTGGTAAAAATATGTTGGTAGTCTTCCTCCAAACTATTAAAAATAATATAAACTCAACAGGTACAGTTGTCATGAGGATCTATGCCCAAGCTCCAGGTCCTGGTGGTTTTTTTGTCTTGTCTTTGTGTGTAAATCTTGGACCACATCCTGAAGAATGTCATCCACTTAGAAAAGTGGTCATTGTGTGTATAGATAAAATGCAAAAATATACAAAATCCATTAAAGATAATTTTGAAAAAAAGAAGAGGATTTGATAGTCTTGCCAATAAAATGTTCATCACATTAGAAATAGAGATGAGGGAGTTGGTGGTGTCAAATATTACTATATTTGTAAAAATAATTTCATTTATAACCTTCTGTTTTCATGTTTGTAACTCTTTTCCATAATATTAATCTTTTGGGTTGAAATTTGCTGTGCTTGCTCTCTGTCCAAACTTGGAGTGTCTTGGAAGTTTGAGCAAAATCTCTCCAACTGCTCTTTAAAAAAAATTATATTTGGCAAGGGTGAAAAAAATGTTGCCTGTTTGAGGCTTGACTGTATTCCAACTGAAAGGCTCATTTTTAGCCTTTGTGTTGACTTTTAGGGCCCAATCCAACTCCCACTGACAACCAGACACTCTTGTTTGTATGTAGGTAAAGTATGGCAAAAATGTCAGTTTGGGAATTTTGCAATTTTTCATCGAAGGCTTACTTTTCTTCGTTTGAAAAGGATATGGGTGTTTGAAAAACTGTATGCTGAGCATACATTGTAGATAATCCACACATGTTCTTTTCACTATATAGCAAGAATTACACTTGTAATGTTGGATCTCCACCCATCTTCCCAAACACCTACTGAAACAAACAAACAACTCAAGAAACCAAGCTATGCCTCCAGCAGAAATGTTACCTCAAAAATGGAGGAGAGCCAAAGGCTCCAAGAAGTCCACTGGGCACTTTGCTGTTCCTACTGATTTTACCTGGAAAGTGCTCAGATATTACAGCAACGGGCAGCAGTGTAAAACCCTTACAGAGCTATGCACTTAAAGATAGATACAGTTTTAAAATGAACCTTAACATTTATTGGTATTATTACCTATACTCTTCCTTTAAAACTTTGGTTACCATGTACAAGAGAAGTGTGACAGAAAAACTAGTACTAATGCATTTTGAGACACTCTAGCTTTTGAAAAGTTTTCTAAAAATCATAATGTGATAATTGTCTAGATATCTCGTGATAGGGTTAGAAACAAAAATTCTTTACACTTCCATGCTTTTGTACTCCAATGGAGAGCATGAACTGTTGTTCCAGCAAGAATCATTAGGAGTGATAGTTGCGTTAGATGTGAGAAGTGCTACCAGAAGTAGGTGTCTAATACATTAAGGTGCATCAGCTTCTTAACATTCTACACTAGTGTGCTTCAAGTGTCGGTCGGATGCTATTAATGTTAGTATTTTAGTGCGAGAGTACAGCTAGCAATATGTATTGGCTGAAGCCTTTTTATAGGATGACATTACGTGTTTCTGCTGTCAGTATTGGAGGTGGGTGTGAGTGTGTGCGTGTGTTGGTTAATATGTGAGTAGAGAAACCATCACAGTAAGCAGTTTACATAGGTTCAGAACATGAACAATTGGACACTGTTTCAACTGTTGAAGCCCTGCTGCTTTTCTGCTTTGGTACATATTTCATTTTTGCAAAATGTTTTAAAACAAATGGTTGAAAATATGAATATTACATCAATTAGTAAGTTATAATTCTCAACAATATTTTTACAGTGATTATTTTAGAGGATAAAGTGTTTTTTCTTTCACTCTGCTTTTTCTATTGGCTGACTGCACTCAGGGGTCCCTCAACTCCCATGATATTGTGCAGGCAGCCTACTCAACAACCTCCTCCCCATTTCTGTGCCATGCGTGCAGAACATGCACTGTAATCCAACTAACTCCTCCTTGTGAAGAAAGCTGGAGGCAAGAGGCAGCTGCAGGCAAGTCCTGCCAGGGTAGGGAGATGGAAAACAAAATGTTAGGTGAATTTAGAAGCAGAATGCTGAATTCTGTAGCACCTTGGAAAAATGTCAAATTTTGCAGCTGCAGAGTCTATGCCCTCTTCCCTCAATTGAGATGAATGGGGCAGGTTCACACCTCTCAGTCCTATTGTTACAGACACAGGCAAGTGTCACTGTTTGTTTTATACGTGTCTGCATTTTTAACTCTTTGCTATCAGAAGTGCTAGAATTTTTTAAAATGAAATTTAAGATTGTGGAGTGCAATTGTGCAACGAGGAGGAAGTTCCACAACAAATTCCATTGCTGCCGTGTACACAGGGCCCTAAATATTATTGTTGGAGAAGGATCCTGTCAATAAGAAATGGGATTTTATAAATGCCTAATGATTTATCTAAAGTAGGGCTTCCGACTTACACATGTTAGCAAGTCCATAGGAGGTGTATGGTGGTAGGATCTGTACTTGCGTGATATATTGGGATAGTGGATGGATGAAAGGAATAGAGGACATGTAGAGACATATCCACATGGAAATTTTTCAACAGTTGGTCTTTCCCTGTCCTTTTTCTCCCCTAGGTCCCCTTCGCATGCATACGCACAAACCCCTATACGTCCTTCCCCAGTTCCATGCTCCCTTTCCTTTGTTCCTATTCCATGTCCTCTCTGTGGCACCCCATCAACTCTCTATTTTGGCGGTTCAGTAAACTGTCCTTCATTCCCCCTCATACTTCCTTACTATCCTGGTCCTCTCCTCCTGCTTACCACCTCTGCTTTAAGGTATTTCTGAGACTGGGGAGCACAACTCCATGACACCTGTGAATATGTATCTTCATTTTCCTGCCCCCATCTCCAGGCATTTGCCTTCATATCTTTCCTGGGACTCTTGCTCCACCAAATTTCCTTTTGGCCTCCTACTTCCCCATCTCTGGTTCAGTCTAGCAGCTGGAGCCAGGACGTCTGTGTTTGTTTATAACATTTATACTATAAATGTTTTATAAGTGTTTCCCCTTATACATTTTTTATAGAGGCCCTCTTTATATATTAAATGCTCTATCCAAGAATACTAAAAGGCACTTCTCAGCAAAGACAGCAA